AAACCATGGTGCTATGAATAGTGACATGCAAACTTTCAACCTTGTTGTGTGACAAAGGCCAGCAAAATCAGGTACTTATTCTATAGGGATGTTCTTTGTGTCATCTTAAACTTACTTTTTTCTTAAGCTGACTCTGCTATACATCTTTCTAATCTTTGCAGGATTATTGACAACATGCCTGTGACTTGGTGTTATGAGGTTGCAGATGAAGAAAGAAAGTACTGTTCCACAGGATTTCCTATCGGCTGTCATGTGTCAGAGGATGGACAAGCACGCGATGCCTGTGTAACAAGTGTAAGCATTTACAGATTTCTCAATTAGTATACTAATGGGCCTGGTTGTTTTAAGGTGGATAATGCTATCTAGTAGAGAAATCTCTGTCTGGTGGATGTGCAGTATATTTTGTTTAGACTTACAGCCACTGGATAGAGATTTACATGTTGGATAGCAATTTACAATGAATACGTTGGATAGTGTTATCCATCCTTTGAATAACCAAGGTGCAACCAAGGCCAGAAGTTTTCAATTTAGGGAAGAAAACTGAAATTGAAGTCATCTTTACAGCCAAACAGAACAAAGGGGAAAATGATTTAAAATGTAAGTTCATGGAAAGTCGCACTTAGACACAGGCAAATGTCAAGAGGTGGGGGTTAATGGCAAATCATGATTGGTTTTAGTTTTGCGTCTGATTGGTTGAAAGCATGGGACAAAGGTTTTTTGACCAATCAGTGAGCAAACTGAAAGGAACCAGAACTAAAGCATTTCAGGTTTATCTTTGATGAATCCTCCAAAGTTTGCTCTACTTCCCACATGTGGCATTGCAGCTCTGTTGGCAGTCGAGCCCATTTAGTCTTTACCAGGCTCAAGTTGAAAGCCTGGATGTTTTTTGTTTTATCTGTAATTTTGTTATTGGTAATTTAATTGTGAGAATTATTTTGTACCTTGTTTATGTTTTTTGTTTCAGGCCAAGTTCAATGAACGCGGGATGCACTACATCTTTAATCATGTTGATATCGAGATCAAATACCATGATGGGTCAGGGGAAGACTGGGAAGGAGCTCGTCTGATGTCTGCAAAGGTCACTCCAAGAAGGTATGAACTGCACAAACAATACTGTCAGGGAGGGCCACAGTGGCCTTATGGTCCGTGTGCTGAGCTGGACTCTTGAGTCAAGAGGTCTGGGTTTGGGATCTGCCCTCTTCATTGTGTACTGTTGGTGTGTGAGACACTGAACTCCCAATGTCAGGGAAACATGTCAAAATGCTGGACAAGAATAGCCAGCAATTGATTGGCACTTCATGCCAGAGAAACTGGGATAAAACTCTTGCAGGAGTCACTTGACAAGAGTGCATGCTTTATTTGTTCTTTTTTTTTACACCATAGTGCCTGAATGAAGCAATCTTGTAGTAATAAAAGTTGTAAATTTTAAGCTTGTAAGAGTATTATTGATGGATTTTTTTTGGTCTTGACATGAGTTTGGGACAAAGAAAAGATCTGAGTTCCTTTAAGAAACCCAATGTCATACACCTGTATACTGCACTTGCTGGTTTTACTCTTTGAGGTTTGATTCCTCTCAAGGAGTCAGATGCATGACAAGACAAAAACATCATATATTCTTACACAGCAATCTTGTTAATTCTACAGTATCAAGCACGAGAAAGGCAAGGAT